TTGAAAAATTTATATTTGGACTTTAAAGTTATTTTTAAATGATTTTATTATTTGAATGTGATTTAAAAGTTTTTATATTAGGGGAGGGAAAGAAAAGAAAAAATATATTCTTTATTTTTAATATTATTTTTTTCTTTATATTTGTATAATTTGATTGGATGTATTTTTTTGACTTTGGCTTTAGTTTTTCCGTTAGAATAAAATTTCATTAAATCATCGCCTTTCCAGTTAAAAGAGAAGCAATTTTCAAGATTCAAATTGATATTTTTTTTAAATAATTTGGTTCTTATTATATTTGCCTTTTGGAAATAAGTTTTTATTTTCTACTTTTTTCCATTACTCAATCAATTTTAACTACTATCCTATTCATTTAGTAAGAGATTTGTATCTCCATTGCAATAAATAGATAGCCTCCTGATGATTAATATTTTTAATTTCTATCTCTTATATCCTAAATTTGTTTGATTCAAAGGGAAGTAATGTTTGGAAAATTGAAAAGAATAATAGAACTATATATTTCTATTTTTGGGTCATTTTTTTGGGTTTTAAGGATCCGCATATATGAATATGTTCATTTGTCTAATACATTGAGTAATACATTGTTACTACAGCCAAAGTAGTTACCACTAGCATTTTGGCTCACGTTATTTTTTTAACAATTCAAATTATTTTTTCCTTTCTTTTCTTTTTATATAGCCAAATACGTAGTATGACAAATTAATTTAATTGTACTCTCAACTTTGCAGAGACCAATTATGCACTTGAAGTTTACACCAAATAAACAATTTTCCATGCTCCCAAGGGTGTGTATATAGCAAAGAAGATGGGTAGGATAAATCAACGGAAATGGGTCCAATTTCATTTAGACATGCGAAAGTTTAAAAATAAAAACAAGTAACGTTGTTTTGTTGTTTTAAAAATAGTTGTTTTAAAAATAAAATTTCATTTTTAAAGAGCTCTAAATGGCGACATTCGAGCAAGCACTGCCCAACGATCCTCAAGCCGGAGAGAAGATCTTCAAGACGAAGTGCGCCCAATGCCATACCGTCGAAAAAAGCGCCCGCCATAAACACCTGATTTGAGTGTGCTTTTTAGGAGACAATCTGGCGCAACTGCTGGATATTCCTACTCTACAGCTAATAAAAACATGGTTGTGATTTGGAGCGAGAATACATTGTATGATTATTTGCTTTGTGATTATCCGGTGACCACCATTTACAAGTACTTTTGAAGGAAAATGTAGCTTCTGTGAAGGAAAATTGAAAACAACAAAGTTGATATTTAAGAAATAACGCTCTACACCTGAGGAAGTGGCAGATTGATAGAGATGGAACCTATCATATTGAAACTAAAGTTACATCAATTTTTTTATATCCTTTTGTCTCTCTCCCTTTATATCCTTTTGTCTCTCTCCCTTGCACTTTTTAATTTGCTAATCCATACATGACAAGTTTCATTGTCATCACTCACGTGTCTCAGGCCAAAAGGGCAACATTTTGATTTTTGATAGCTTATAATGACCATTGCATTAGCTTTCTTGAGTCTGTCATCTAGTGTGGAAAATCTTCTCATACTAACACCAAAACCTTTAATTTGATCTTCATTTATGATGTGTTGAATTCAATAAATTAATGTGTTTGCAGGTAAATTGGCATTCCATTAATGGAGATGAGTGCAAAAAAATGCTATGAATGTAGAGTAGGCTTTCATGATAATGGTCGCTAATATCAAAAAGAGATAGAGTTTTTGAATGTCATTGTCATTTTTCTATATTTTGTATTATAAATGGAAATGCTCTATTTTTGCTCAATGCGATTGTTGTTTCATACGCAGAGGAGGAGAGAGAGAGAGACTTTTGGACGGGGATTAGTGAGGTTTTTTTTTTTTTTTTTTTTTTTTTTTTTTTTTTTTTTTAAATTATTGATGTGTAAATAAAATTGGGTCCCATTTTTATTTATTTATCCTACTCAGCTTTTTTATAATACACGCACGGTTGCCAAGGTCGAAAGGTATTTATTTGGTGCAAAATTTTTGACTTAAAGTGCATAATTGGTTCCCAGCAAAGTTGGGAGTACTGTAGGATTAATTTATCAAAGTTTAGAGGGCAATCTACGTATTAGCCATTTTTATATTATATACAAATAAAACATTAAACCTTAGATTATTAACAATGAATTTACTACTTTTAATGCTACTAGTTCTTTTATGATGTGTGTTGCACGTTAATTTTGCTCATTTTATATTAGTTTAATTTTTTTATTTATATAATATTGAAGTATAAATTGAAGTATAAATTCTTATTTAGATTAAAATAAAAAATAATGAAATTTTTTTTACATGTCCTTAACAATGTAAAATCTAATTGAAAATAAAACAACAATTTTTTCCCTTCCTCTGTTAATAAAAAAATATACATGGTTATTATGATTAAATTAATTATATAAATAACTAAAAATTTGCATTTACCATATTGCTAAATATTTTATAATTTGACGATACTATGACATTAATCTAATAAATCAATACTTGCTCCATATAAAATATAAATTTGATATTGACATCAATTATTTTAATAAGATGAAGTTAAGTTCAAATTTTATCAATGGTATATAGTATTTTGGGCTCCATGTGTTTTGCACAAAATCTAAAATTAAATTGCTTAAAGTTTAAAGTTCCATATAGGGATCAATGTGCAAATAATAATATTGGCAATGGAAGATCGTTTATCAAGTTTATAAATAAATAAAAATGAGATTATATTCAAAAATTTCAAAGTCCTACATATTTATTAAAAAATATTTAAAAAAATTAAAATCTCAAAGGTCTAATTATCTTTATATCAATTATATCCAATTTTAAAATTGCTTTAAAAAAGTACATCTAACTAAGTCATAAAAAATTAAATGAAATTCAATAAATTTTTTTAAAAAAAGTAGAATAAACTATTGAATAAGAAGATAGCTCTTGAATTTTCTCTTTTTTTTTTTATCTTTAAATTTAAAAGCTGAAAATGGAAATGCTAGCAAACATGCCTAAATAACCATTTTTTCATTAATTCAAAATTTATAGCCTATTTTTTAAAAAAAGATTTCATTAGACTAAAAAAGGAAAAACATTCTTACTTGATATATTAGTAAAATACTATAATTCCATAATGTGTAAATACAATAATGTGTAAATAATCCAAATAAGTCTAAATCAAAGAGAAAATTTAAAAAAATTATTTTAATTTCATTGTATTTAACTAGTAGACTTCAATGGTAAATTATTTAACCATATTTTAAAAAACTCAGAACATAATAAATTAAAAGAATTTAAGTTTCATTTTCGATATTTAAATTAATGTTTTAATTTACCTCCTAGAAAGCAATATATCATGTGAGAATCTATAATTAAGAACATCAAAATCTATTAATTATAAAAATTATTAGAAAATAATACTGCAAGATCAAATAGAGAATATAAATGTACATATTATAAATGTACATATTTTATCAAATTAAAATCCATAAAAAATCTAAGTAAAAGGATATTTAAAATAAAAAATGGAATTTATTTTCTCAACTTAAAAGGTTCTTTAAAAGGATAAATGAACATATTTTCTCCAATTAGAATGCATTAAAAATCTAATTAAAAGGATATATTCGAAATTTCAGATGTCATTCTATTAGTATCGGTGAGGAACTTTTTTTTTTCTTTTTCTTTTTCCTTTTCCTTTCTATATCTTCACGAATAGAATAGGAGGTTGTTGACCGTTTCATTGCACAGTCTTCATATTCACCGGTTTATGGAGGTTGATAAAAGAAATAACACTTAATGAATTTTCTCAAAAAAAAAAAAAATTTATCAATTTGATTTATATTATTTTGCTTTATTTTGCTGCTTTTGATATCAATTTTGTCCAATGTAGTCGAGCTCCCAATATATTATCATATAATAGATTTAAATATGTGAAATAATATAAAATAGTATAAATTATTTAATTAATATTTGGATAAATTGGTAAATTAATTTTAAAAGATTAAAAAGTCAAGCTCTATGAGCCATCAACTTTCACCTTATCGTTGATGATTAAAGGGGAAAAAACTTATTTGTCAAGAAATAAAATTTTTATTAATTTAATTACTTTGAAAATTTAATTAGACTAAAATTTCTAATACAATTTAGATTCAAATAGGAAATTAATACAATCAATCAAAATTAAAGTACCTTTATTTTCAACCAATAAAATTAAAGTTTTCAAAATATTTGAAATGCTTAATTATCTATATGTATTTGTTTAAAAAATAATTTTAATAAATTATTTCTAATCAACTAATAAAATGTAATTTTCTAATAATTTTCTAATTGATATTCAAATTTCATCTAAGGCGTGATCAGAAATCCCACTATTTTCTCCCCCCATTCATATATAGTATAGATATAGACTTTTTTTTTTAGTTCTAATATACCTGGAGGTTATATTTTCCTCCATATGGACTTTAATCCATTTTACTTCAAATGAGAATGAGCATGAGAATGAGAACATGATTATCACATTCTATTTGATATACAAAATAAAGAAGACAATTATTACATATTCAGACATATGTCGAGACAAATAAAGAACATAAACTAGTAAATAGTTACTAAATATAATAGGCAAAAGATCTCAAAATACATGCCAAAAGACAAAATTTGATGAAGTAAGATTAAATTTGACATCAATTTTTTTTATTTCCCCTATAAAAATAGTCCCTCTCTAATTTTGGAGTCTAGTCCCAACCTTAATGGATAGTTTGATGATAAAGTCTATATCTAATTCTGATAGTTTGATCAAAATGAGCATATATAACATATCAATTATCAGACCAATTGCAAAGTTTTAACTCATACTTTAGTAAAATTATACCACAACAAGAAAGAAATTAGTAGAAATGTGGTAGGGGCAATTTTGGGTTTTGAAGAAGTAATCATATTTTGGGTCTGGTTTCATGGTGGGTGACCCGATCCAATTTTCGTCATTGAAGAAATGAAATCGAAAAAATTAGGTAATCAAATTAGACTAAACGAGAGCAAAAAGTGTTTACGCAGAGGAAGATAAACTGCTTCTCTTTCGCTTTGTGCATAGGCAGATAATCGATGATGTCTACTCGCAGTGGGAGATGCCTTACTGTTTTTCGGATTCGTCGGCCAATGGATATTTTTGGTTCCGTTTCTTTTAGTAGTTCTAAAAGTAGTACTCATTTGAGAGGTAAAGGCAATTCTGATTCATTCCACAACATTGATGATTGTTTAGCTTCCTTTAATTTGATGCTTCATAGTAATCCTCCTTCCCCTATTAAGGAATTCAGTAAATTGTTATCTGCACTTGTTCGAATGAAACATTATGCTACTGTCATTTCTCTCTCTGAACAGATGGAAATGTTTGGAATTTCACATAATATTTATTTGTTTGGAATTTCACATAATATTTATTATTTTAATATTTTGATTAATTGCTTCTGCCACCTGGACCATGTGGATTTTGGGTACTCTCTTATGGGAAAAATCTTCAAACTTGGTTTGAAGCCTGACGTTGTAACGTTTAATACCGTAATCCATGGGCTTTGTAGGGAGGATAAATTTGGTGAAGCTGTGGATTTGTTTGATGATATTGTTGAAAAAGGGTATCGACCTGATGTTTATACCTATACTGTGATTGTCTATACTGTGATTGTGAATGGTCTTTGTAAAAATTGGGAAAACCATGTTGCCCATTGGTATTTCTGAAAGGAATGGTGGAGAAAGGTTGCCCTGCCTAATGTGGTGTCATTTAATGCTATCATTGACAGCCCCCCCCTCTGCAAGGATAGACTTGTTACCAAGGCATTAGACCTCTTCTTCAAAATAACAGAGCGAAGGTATCTTACTTTTGAATGTGCTGCCGTACAGCAACCTTAATCCGAGGTTTGTGTATATCAAGCAGATGGAAGGAAGCTTTTATGTTCTTAACCAAATGTTGAGAGCAACGTCACAACCAGATTTAATTAGCCTTCAATACTTGGTTGATGGACTTTGTAAGGAAGGAAAGGTTTCAAGGGCTTCAATGGTGTTAGTCAAATATGATGAATGCAGGGAGGAATCAAAGGCCAATGTTATCACCCTACAGTTATTTAATGGACGGATATTGTTTACAACAAACCAGTGGATCAAGCTAGGAAATTTTTAACCTGATGGTAAGCGGGCTGTACTCCCTACTGTTTGTTACCCTACAGCATCTTGATTCATTGTTACTGTAAGAGGAAAAAGGAATAGAATGAGGGCAATGCGGCTTTCTGATGAAAGCCTTGCCAAAGGCTTGTGCCTGACGATTTTACTTATAGTTTTCTCTTATAACGTGGCTTTGTGTAAAGCAAAGGGCCTTGGGCCCCTTTGCACATAAGTTTTCCCCAAAAAGGACTTGTGTGCTAGTGCTATTCTCCAGCGTGGGTGGTGTACTCAGTTTTTGATAGATGGCTTTTGTAAGCATTTAGAGCTGTCTTGAATATGATTGGATCTATTTCATGAAATGCAAAAGAACTTGTTGAAGCCTCACCTTATTATTTATAATACCCTAATTGATGGTATATTCAGAGCTGGAAAGGTTAACGATGCAAAGGAATTGTTTTCTAGACTTTCCATAGAAGGGTTGCATCCTGATGTTTGTACATACACTATAATTGTCAAAGGACTTTGTAAAGAAGGATTATTAGATGAAGCATTAAAGGTGTTCAGGAAAATGGAAGGGAATGGTTGCTCACCAGATGATTGCTCTTATAATGTGATTATCCAAGGATATCTCCAACACAACGATTTGTCCATGGCAAAACAACTTATTGACTTATTGATGAAAAATGGTTGCAAGGGGGTTTGCAGAATGCACTACCATGAGATTTGGTAGTAACAATGATCTGCTTGTGAAAAAGCTTGCTTGTGAAAAAGCTACTGAGCTGCTCTACAAGTTCTCAAGGTGTAAAGTTGGAATAATTGTTGTGCAGTCACAGGAGGTATTGTTCTGTTTTGAGTTTAATTCATCATCTTATGGTTCTATATATTTGTTCTGCAGCTGGCCTTGGCAATAATTTAGAATATTAATTGTATTTATTTGCTTTCTTTCTCTTGAATTTGCTGCGTAGCGTACCCATTGAATCTGGCATAAAAAAGAGAGAACTGGTTGTTTATATTTGCTTATTATATTTCAAACTAGTTTTCTATTTACCTTCAATATGTAGTTTAATCCATATTATTTTGAAATTATGCTCTATTTTCAGCAATTCAATATTTTGAATTCAGTATGTGGTGGTTGTATTATATTTGAATTCAATATTTTGAATTTGCTATCAAGAGGAAAAAGGGAGCAGTGTTTTTTCTTTTCACTTGTTAATTTGTAATTTTTGTTCCCTTATTTTAGCAAAAACAACTGTCTTATTTTACTAAAAAACAACTGTCTTATTTTACTAAAATATTTAGGTATTACACTTACCTTTTGTCTAATAAATAATAAATTTTTGAGCAAATTGACTATATTACACTTAATTCAATACATCCCAAATACCAAAATTTTGAAGAAGTGAAGCACTAATTATTGATCATATAGAAAGAGTAAACATGAAAAAAAATTTATTACTCTTTAAAACCATAAATGTTACAAATACTTTGAAATATAGTACTTTCTTAAATAAGACAAGTATTTCGAAACTTAGGTAGTTGATTATAACATAGACGAACAGTTAATACCGTCTGATTGATATCTAATCATGCAAATGGTAATCAATGTAGCATTAATTTATCTTTGTTAAGTACCCCTTCGTCCTAAAAAGATAGTTCATCTTTCCCATTTGATTTGTTTCAAAATATAGTCAATCTTTCTTTTTGGTATTATAGTTAATGCTTCAATTGTCTTTTATACCCTTATTAAATTGTCAATTATATCTTTATTAAATTTTATCTTATTTTTAATGACTCTCATTAATTCTTATTTATTATTCCAATACAATAATTTGCTACCATGTGTTATTAAAGTGGGCAATAAATAAAAAAATTATATAAATATTGGTCCTTTAGAGGCCATAATAAATGTTTTAATTTTTTATCTATGTAAAAATAGAAAAGTGAACTATCTTTTTGGGGACGGGAGCGAATAAATCATAACTAATAATATAACTAAATAAATAATAAAATTCTAGCTAATTAAATATATTAGAAAAATAAGAAAAAGCAATAATAATTTAAATTATGGTGCAAGTAAATAATTAATACAAATTAAATTAAACTTATCATAAAAACATTTGAAATCAAATAAAATTACCTAAATTATTAAAATAAAAAATAAATTTGGAAAGCCAGAATTAAAATGTAATATAACAAAATAAATAAAACAAAATTAAAGCATGAGGACAATCAAAACCATTAATTGATATGCTTCCTCTAATCAACTGGTGCATAAGGCCCTGCTATTGGTGCGTCAAGGCTTAACAACAGGTGCATAAGACTCTTACTTACTGATCCATAATTGATATGAATAAAATGAATTTTTAACATTTTTGTGGACAAAAATCACTCAATTCAGCCACAAAAACTCAGATTCTCCATTCATATTAATACCAAATTGATTATAAACATCTCCATTGTATTTAAACGGTTATTCTCCAAAAAAAAAAAAAAACATATTAAATAAAGTAATATAATAATATCAAATAGCTCTAATCAAACTACAAAGAGAATACAATACCTTTAGTTTAGATTAGATTTTTGAGTTTGAGAATTCTAAATCTAAACGCTTGCTAGATGTTATTCTCATAAATCGTAAACAAGAATTGTTTTTGACTAAAACAATAGAATTCTCGTAAATCATAGATAAGAACGAAAGAACAACAAAATGGATTTTTATATGCAATGATGCTCTCAGCTTAAGAAGTTTTTCTTTATCTTTTTTTTTTTTTTTTTTTTTTTTGAAATTGATGTCTCATTGATTGATTATCCAAGTATACGCTCATCTTTTCTTCGTAATTTTTATGTTAGGAGTTTCTTGAAATTTAAATCTCTCCCAAAAATTTCTTTTCTTTCTCTTCTTCTGCCGTTTACGTTCTCTTTGTCTCTTTTTTTTCTCCTCGGGTATTTGTTGTTGACGTTCTTTTTCTCTTTTATGTGTGTGGGGTTTTTCGCTTATATTATTGTGTTTTAATTCAAGGTTATTTGTCTTCTCTTATTTTTCTCTCGCTTTAATTGAGAGAATCTCATTGCTTTTTCGGAGCTTCCCCTACTTGGTCTTGCTCTCTGTTCTTCAAATTGGCTTACCTTTTTTTCAATTTTTTTTCGCCTACGGCTAACTTTTCTGCCTCTTACCTTTTTTTTTTTTTTTTTTTTTTTTTTTTTTCTACAGACGCTTCTTTTAGTTTGTCTCGTTCGGTTCTCAATATGTTTAACTATATTACTTGTTAGGGTTATATTACTAATTTTTATTTTTTTTGAATTTTGTATTTTTCGAGGCTTTTTTGTAATGTATGTTGCTTTTTTAAATTTTTATATTCTTAGCCTATATAGCCATTAAATTCAATTCTGAAAAATATAAGTCCTAATATACTTGAAAATTTTTATAAAACCAAAGCAATCCGTAAAATGTTACTTACGTTAATATTAAGGGGTTAAAATTATTATTAAAAATCCCTCAGGTTTGTATCATTAATTATTCTTATTAGTATTTTTTTGCCGCCTTGACGTGTTTATATATATATTGGTAGTTACTAGTTCTTCCCTGACCTTCTAACTCCGTCTAATTAAAAAGGTCATTCTGTCCAGAAAAATGTGGTGTTTTGCCGTAAATTACTTGTAAATTAACAAAGGAGAGACATTTTTGATATAGTCGACATGGCTTATGCCCTTTATTGAACTGGTCCATTTGTGGCAAAAGAAAGGATTGAGTTTGATCCATATTATGATTGGTAAGAAACGCATGAGAAGGATATGAAAATTAGGAACATCACCAAATACCTCAATAATAGGATTTACATGTAACCTTTTAGAGGAAAATTAGATACCGATCGATGCTTCTTGCTTCAAGGCGCAGCCGATATGAGGGCATGGGAATGTGAAGATTTGGTGAATATGTATTGCTAATGTAGATAAAAGTCCTTAGGTGCATTAGGATCTCAGTAGACCATCAAAAATTAGTAAAAAACCTTTGACTCTTATTAACTGTTTTGTTTATTTACTTTTGGTAAATGGCATGCGAATCTTTCCTTGAGTTATGGGTGTATAAGCTTATAATGATTTAAATGCCTGATTTCGATTTCTCAAAAAGGTAAGCGTTATTTGGAATGTGAAGGCTAAAGAAGTGTATCTTTAGCTGACGTTGTTTGAATTGTAAGGAGATATAGTGTTGTATTTGAAGATTGGATGGCTTTGATTGTAATATGTACATCTGAGATTGTGAAATATTGGAGATTTAAATTTTTATTAGGGCAATGCTTTGGAGTCAGAGATTGGCAAGCGTTGACAGAAGTTGATTTTCATAATGCATTGATGGCTTAATCATGATGATTTTTACCTGTTACCTTTTTTGTTAATTTTGGCTCTACAAGAGTAACTGAGGATTGGTGAATTTATTTAGTTTATTGGGTAATTTTGGGTACTGTTGGGTAGTTTTTGTAGTTGGGATTTTTTAATGTGGTGGGTTAGTTGTTGAAAGTTAGTAACTCAAGTGGGCACAGCCAATTTTGCAAGATGAAACTGAATGTAATATAGCCTTGTTGCAAGAAAATGTATACTTATTAACTTAAATTCAGTTTTGGTGTTAAATTATCACAAATGCAGAGCAAAAAATAATATAAGAAATATTTTTCTACTTGTAAATATTTTTTACTAGTTCCATTCTCGATTATTAATCAAATGTTTCCCAATACACAAAAGACAAAAACATACATGTTTAATAATGTTCAATTACAAAAAAAATCTTCAAAATTCAAAACTTGAACCCACATGCAGCTAGAGTGTTTTAACAAATAGTTCCATTCTCATTAATCAAATGTTTTCCAATTCACAAAGAACAAAAGCAACATATTTACAGTAATGTGCATTACAAAAAAGAACTCAAATCAAAAACTCTGTCCACATGCGCTGGAGTGTTTCTATAACAAAACTTGTCGTGTTTTTGCTGTCAAGTAAAACGACAGACATAAAGAGGAAAAAAAGTGACCACATTGTGTTCCTGTCTTGCTAGAAAATCAAAAGATTCTTTATTCTCACCTTTCTTAATATCTTCTCAACCAGAAGCCTCTTCCCCAACAAAATACACAATGCAGGATCTCTATATGAATTTACTGCATACATGGGAAGCACAAAATACCATCTGCATCATAATGAATCCGCAAAAAAACCAATCTCAACATATTCAACAAAAAAACAAGTCTGCGAACATATTAACACAGAAACAAAAAAATGATCTATTTAGAGGATATAGGGAGCTCCCCTCCCCTCTCAAACCATGAAGCACATCTCCCTCTCAAACCCGAAGCAGCCTCTCCCCTCTTGTTGCAATGCAACGCCTCTCCCTCTTGAACCAAAATAAACTACTTCCCCATTAATAGCAACAGATCCAGATGATCTTTTTCCTCCTCTTTGCACAAAGTGTTTATTCTAGATAAAACAAATGGGAATATACATTAAAACAAACATAATTATAAAACAACTAGGTACTATTCAAATTGCAAAAGTGAATCTGACTTGAAGACTTGCTGCTGGGACTTGCTGGCCAGTTCTTTTAATTAATTGGGCCTAAGTTGCTTGCATGTCACACACCTAACTATGGCAAGATTCTTTTTGCTGTGCTTAGATCAGCTTCTACCCTCTTGAAAGTATCTCCTTTCTTTTGATCTAATCAGGCGCCTTCCTCTTTAATACTTT